GTAATTTTAAGATATTCGATAACTTGTAAATTAAGTTAAAAGTCGCACAATGTTATTTAAATTAGGTGTAATAGATTTTATTTTATAAAGTTTGTGATCTTTGTTATGTTAAATTGTAAGAGAATTTCCTTTCCAGATTAATTTAACTTTACCAGACTTTACTCACAACCGTTTATATGCGTAGTTAATTAAATTCTAGTTATAAATAATAACCTATGTTAATCATTAATAATGTCGCTTTCTAATGGTAAAATATTTTTTAAAATCGGTTTAGTAGTTTTTGAGTCTACTCGTTACAGACAATATAAATATTTTATGATTATTAACAGAGAAGGCTTTTATTTAGTTATTTCTATTACTATAACGTCCCTCTCTGTAAGTAGGCCGACGTGTCCTCGCTTATCGAGGCCGCAGTCCCTCCCCCCATACCGCTTTGTATCCCAAATGTATCCTCACATTACATCCCTTAAGATGACATCGATGACAAAATGCCGTAGACCCCATTTCACTTGAATAGAAGCCTGATATATTATTTTTTGACATTTATTTTTTTACTTTGCAGTATAACTAATGTTAATAATATTAATAAAAGAAAATATATGTATAAGAAAGTTAGGACTTTTGTATTTCATTCGTATAAAACTAAAACACGACCAAATCGAGTTCGGATTTATTGAAAATTTTTACCATAACAATGCAGCACTATTCTAGAATCAGGCTGTGATTGACTCCGTCCATTTTATATAATAAAAATTAAGTAGCCTATGTATTGTTCCAGATTAAGCTGTACATCTAATACAAATTTCATGGAGATCCCTTCAGGTCAACTCTAACCAACAACCATCTATCCATCTAAGCTTTCGTATTACTAACATTAGTAAGATTTTAAAATGTCCACTCGAAGCAAGCTGCAACTAGCCACTACTTAGTAACATTTATAAAAACACTAAAAAGAAGGTTTATTTTTTTTAACACCAGGACAGTAAATATAGAATATTGACATGCATATGAAACATTCAGATTAAAAGTCCACTCGGCCGTAGCAGGACGCATTATTAACTCCGTACCCGCGTCGGCAAATTCAATCAAGGAATGGATATCACGAGCTCCGCGCATGTTGATTTTGTATTTTTCATTTAATCAGAATGTCGCAGTATAATCGAGTTCTCCCATGCTTGTTTCAATCTCAAAAACAAATAAATACTACAGCAAAAACTATAGCTCTGTTTTATTTTTTCCTTTAAAAATACCCTGATTTAGTTGTCCATTTTCTAAGTAGCTTTTTTTAGAGATAAAAGAGAAAGTGACCAGTATGCGCCAATACAGTGAAGTGCCTCTACCCATAGACATCGGCATTTGCATCCTTTTTTTCTTAATTTGAAGCGTCAGCGATTTTATGTTGCCAGTATTCGTTTGTTAAAAGTTGGCACCCCTAATAGCGGCCTACAGTAATCGAAGGCCTCCTAATTAGTATACGCACGTTTACCCTCAGGGCCCAGAATTTACACAAAGGAACAATTAGCGAAGGTCATTAGCTATTACCCGACATCGAATATCAAAGGTAATTTATACCTTTGAAACTCGATAACCGAGAGAATTATTAATGACTCGAGTGTCGATTTAATTTATTTAACCCATTCTTTGAGATCCTTTAAAAGGTGATATTATTTTTATTAGGCTTAAATAGACATAACCTATCTTATAATAACTAAAAAATGTATTCGATTTTCACTTTTGAATGAAATAAAGTGGTTTTAAATTTTGTTAAAAATGTTATTTAATGAAGCGATATTGCAATATTAAATTCAATCAAATTAATATTAATCATTTATCAATAAGATATTAATTACAAACAGATCGGTTTACCATTTGAACGTAATATTAATATGGACATGTGTATTTTGAAAATTGAGATGTATTGAATTTTCATCAATACATATTTACTAAAAAACGACTACATTTATGTACAGTTAGTCCCGTGTCGGTCTGTACATAGTGGGTCCCTCTTCTATCGGGTTTACTGAATTTTTAATCAACTAGTCTAATGTTAGCCCGCACTGGGCCAGCGTGGTTGACTATAGCCCAGTCACCCTGACTTAGTGTAGGCTCTGAGCTCCTTAGTGGGGACGAATAGTGAGTTGAATTGGTGATGATGATTCTAATGTCAATTTAGTACTCACGATGGTGGAATGCCTCCAACGAAGACATCCGAGTTGGAGGCGAACTTGCCAAAAACGTACTCCTTGCCGCGTGACGTCTTGCTCTGCGTCACGCCGTCCACCGTCAAAGATGTGTGCTCGTCGCGACGGGCAACCTAACAATAACAGAGCAAATTAAACTATTTAAACTTTCAGAGACATTATCTTAGTTAAATGATAAAGTTATAACCTTAAATAGTAATCGATTATTAGTAAAAACATTTTGTTAGAGTATTTTTGTTATTACAATATGATGGACGCATAATATCTCACCTGAACTTTATGCCAGTGACCGTCGTTCAAATTACTGCCAACCGTTATAATTTGTGCTCCCCCTCCCAAATTGTATCTCAGTCTCAAAGCTCCGTTCACCAGTTTCAATTCGAAAAAGTCGTAAGTTCCACCATCGTCGGTGTATAGAAGTAGACCATTTGGTTGATCTGTCTTGAACTCCAGTTCAAGTGTACCGTTGAGTCCTGCGTTCCATTTGCGGAACTGTGAGTACGGGTTCTGTTTGTCGAGGACGAAGGCTAAGTTTCTGTGTAGAGACAGCGAGAGCAGACAGAAGAGGACGCGGCGCATGGTCGTGACGTCAGCGCTCATCGCGTACACCGGACACGTCACTGAGCGATGTTACACCTGCACCTTTTACGTTTCATGTCTCGATTTCCTGCAACAATAATAAATCATTTAAGGATACCAATACAATACAGATATTTCTAAAACAAGCTTTAAATCGTGCGTACCTGAAATTGAACTATCGCACAACTGTTTAGTCGCGCTTTGATTACCATGCTTACGTGGAAATGCTTACACTACTTGATTAGTTGTGCAACCAAACAGTTGAATTGGCTGCGAAACAATTGACGATCGCACGACAATTGTGCGATAGTTTAGTCAAAGGTGTGCGCCCGCTCTAAAAGTATTCTTTAGAAACAATTGGTTCGATTTTAAATATATCGAAGTGATTTTTTTCTTAATCACTTCTAGAGGTAAAAGTTAGTTTTAGTTCAAGTGGCAAACGCTCTCAATGTTAAGGGAGGTGCCAACTTTTGCACTGTAAAAATCCATTAGGTGCCTAATTTGTTCGGACACGGAAGGGCGGTCGTGCCAAGTTGTGACTTAGCTCGACTTTGTCGTATGAATATTAAAACGAAACTTATTCTGCTCTCATTTATTCAATTAGGTCAATTTGAACATTTATATTTAATTAAATAAAAGTTAAGTGCATAAGTTAAGCGTTTTAATTAAGTGATATAACAGTTTGGTAGCTTAATGACTTTACTTGTCAAAGCGATTTTCGATAAATTTTAATATCTGTCAATTTTTTTACTTTTAAAGTGCCAAATAATTTTACTACACGTTCTACGGAGCGTAGCACTATGCTACGAGTGTCTTCGTTGTTGTACGTAGTTAGTGTTCTTTCAATTTATCTACATTTAATACTATCAATGCAAATACGTATATCAGCATACGTATATAAACATACATATATGGATATGTTTTACATTATTTTACTTGTTTTAGTTACATCTCTTATATGATATCTCTCTTATCGCTACGCTCGACTTGGCAATGCTTGACTCGGCCTCCAATTAGTAATTAATTACCGTAATTAAAATACTACATAATTATTGACTAAGCATTTATAACAAAATAATATGATTTAAACGCACAACATTTAAGTATACTTAATTAAAACGCCTACTTAATTTTCTAAGGATTCTCAGTATTTTTAAACACCATTAAGTAGACATTGTGATAATACAACTAAAATATTCCAAAATCTGTACGTAATATTAAATTGAAATAACATCTAATGCGCTCAGAATAAGGTTGCATTTACATTCTTAAGATTTAACGAACACTATTTTCCCCACAAACATATCCGTCGCAAAATTCACGCCTCGAAAGATAGCGTTCTAATGCAGGCCACACACGTTAGATTTTGCATAATTTAAACCTTAAATACCGAAGAGATACTCAGGTTTCATAGAACACGTAACTGTACTTTCACACGTACTAAGGTTTATCTGGGATTATTCCCAACCGTCATCCCGCTCTGTCCCGACCTGGGAACACATGAGAATAAACAGTTTCAACCGTCCCAACTTTTAGTCCCACTATCACCAATAACGTTACAGATGGTTCCATCTATCGTTCTGAATATATCGTTCGTTATGAAATAAAATAAGTTCCAACCACCCCCTCGTCGCAAAAGTCGGGACGGATGAAACTTTTCATTCTCATCTGTTCCCACGTGGGAAGAGAGCGGGATGACGGTTGGGAATAATCCTTAATCTGTAAGTTACAATTGTGATATTAAAACCTAAAAAGCGAATACTTTGTGAAATTACATTATGAAGGAGGTCTTATGTTTACAAGTGTCACGGCAACGTGACCCACTCATTAAAACCGTCATACAAAACCTAGCGTGTGTGGCTTACATGCCGCAAGTTGAAATAGCGGAGTTGGCATCCGCCCCAAACCGGTTCTTGTCGGTTTCACACAGATTTTTGCACAAATTGCGCGACGCCGTTGATTTGAAGAACTGCCATCTTTGTTTGCAACAACGCTCGGAATCTCCCACTTTGTTTTGGAATTCTGAACTTAAGTTTCAAATTATTGTACTTAAGTACAAAAACACATAAAGATATAAGCGAATATTTAAAATCAAAAAAAGAATAGTAACGACTACATACCTTAGTCAACCAACCCGCACTTGGCCAGCGTGGTTGACTATGGCCTAGTCACCCCGTATTAGGGTAGGCTCCGAGCCCCTCGGTGGGGACGTATAGTGAGCTGGTGATGATGATGACATACCTTAGTACTTAAGCCGTAACTAACGAACAGCCGAAATCAACATTCAATGTTGAACTATTTTTGTTTGCCTTAAGATGAATCCATTTAGGTGTAGTTCAAAATTAACCGATATAAATATCATTATTACAATAAAATGATTCATTAATAATAGAAGATCGGATACATTTTGTACCCCGATACATTGAAAATAATTAAAATAATGTTCAAATCGACATCAAGGGTAAAATTATTACGTCGGTATTTAATGAACTTAGTACAAACAAACGTCAAAGCTACGTAGGTACACAACCAATATTATACATTGTTTTAGAAAAGACTGTGGCAAAATAAATTTATCAAAATTTAATACCTCATAGGAACAGATAATAATACTCTAGTGTGGAATAACATGGCAACGTTAAAATCCCATTCATACAAACTACAATTTACAAAAAAATATTAAGAATAGAAGTAAACATCTCTTTAAACATTCAACTTTGGTACGAGTGCTAATAAATGTTGTCTAGAGTTCGAGTCCCGCAATTAGACTATTATCGTATACCATAACACAAATCTTAACTGCAATATTAGTTAATCAACAAAACACCTCAGGGCTGTAATATTCCAGCGTAAAAGATCTAAGTAAATAAATAGAAGATTTATCTCTTACAGTGGTTTAATAAAAAATACTGAATAGGAAAAAGATGTATCTAGATAACTGACCTCAAAAGCTTCGATATCTCTCCGCAATAACTGCATAAAAGGCCACTTTTCAGATTCATTCGAATGATCAAACAAAATGATGAAAGAACGCTAACGCACGAATGCTCCGGGAATTTGCTGCCGAGTTTACATTCCGACGAATCGAGCTTCTCAAATGGGAATACACCAATCTCTTTTGACAATCAGATCAAAAGGGTGCAGCAAATAGTAAGCAATAATTTGAAAGATATCTGAGAATATGCAATTGACCAGTCTGTTTCATAAAGAGAAAGAAAAATGTATGAATCGATTATGTGAAAAAAGATATGCTCAAGAAGACGCGCAGATATGACGGCTGATAGATATGTATGGAAAAGCAGTTCACCCTGTCCCGACCATAGGACGTAGGACAGGTTAATAATTGCTACAATGCTGGTTTAATCTTACATCATGTTTATGGGCGTCGGATCACTTGATACCAAGCGATTAGAAGCTTGTTTGCCCGCTTTTTTTAGAAAAAAAATTGAATCTTCATTGGTAATCAAATAGAACAATTAAATATAAAATCAGAATACCTTCATGTCAGGAATTAATGCTGCTAATAATAAGGAATATTTTTGGCAAACCTCATTATCTTCAAACGCTTTTATCGAGATAAAACATTTTATTTAGCCTACGCAACATTTATATGAAGGGTTAATATCGTATTCGGAACATTGCTGTGCAGTAAAGTTTAATATCGAGGCTAGTGACACAGCCAATTCAATACGAAACGTGCTTACGTCGCGCCTCAAATTGTTGCTGTTTAATCTATCTCTTTGTTATATATCTTTAGAATTGTACATTTTTCGGGCCGATGTCTTACTCTCCATCTAGAACTTTCTAATAACTACGCCATCTTGTCCTCATTCGACGTTGGAGAACACTGTCACGTGACACTGGTCACATAGAAGTAGTCCTCCATGCCCTTTCTCTATTCACTATGTCATTTCAAGGTTGATAGGTACATATAGATACTTTTAACAGAATCTATACAAAATCTATACCATTATAAAGCGGAAAGATTTGTATTTTTATTTGTATTGGAATAACTCAAAAACTACAAGGCCGATTTCAAAAATGTTTTCACCATTACAAAGCTACATTATCAGTGAGTAACCAAGGCTTACTTTTCGTATCGTAACTCGCGATCAACAGCTATTAGTTTATAAAGCCTGAAGTACTGTGAATGTAGAACAAATTATTGATATTAAATTGTTCCAGTCCATATCAAACTATAAAATCGATCCGTATGTCTTTAATAAACACGGTGACAATGGAAATCGTTTTCAATTTCAATGCCTTATTCAACAAAATAATACTAGCAATGCGGACACGGTATTAGCAGATGCGGTCTTGGGGGGAAGAGGGGAAGGGGTGGGGGTTGCGGTCGTTAAATTCGCATCCCGCGCCCTCTCGCGTGCGGAATGCAAATTGTTTGTACAACACATACCCGGTATTCGTGATTGCTTTGTGCGTAATATGACCAATCACTTTTATTTTATAACCTAAATTAAGGTGAGGTCAGACACCTTTAGTCAAACAATTATATTAATTACTGAGAACACTTTTTTGAATGATTTGAATAAACTAAAATAATAGACTTCAGACTATGATTTTTTTATTTATTTTCTGTATACCTACTATTTTTCCTTCCTTCCGCTATCTAAATATAATTTGGTTATCTAAATTTAAATCTTATATTAAGTAAATCTTTCGTACATAATTGTACGCTCTCTGGTTCTTTTGAGATATCAATAAATTCCTTTTATTACAAAAAACCTTCAGCAGTAAGCTGGAAGTATTTTACTCAATAACCTTTTAAAAGCTGATCGGTAAATATGTCGGTAAATCTGGCAATCTCCGATATTACTCCGCAAATGGAATGTTCCAGAAGCTTGCCTTTGGAATGCTAGATGCCGTTTGGTAACATTCAGTTAACGTAGTATGCTTGTTAAATGGTATAACGAAAATTCTTTTGTCTATTTGAATGTTGCGTATAGACGTTATTTACCTGTGTAGAACATAGAGAATTAAGGTGAGTGTAAATCATTGTGTGGATGAACACATATGTTACTTGCTTAGTGTATTGCCATGCACGAGCGCTTTTATTTTTTATTTTCGGTA